GCAATTCAGTCCTGTAGCTTAGTAGTTAGAGGACCCGGGTTCAATTCCCGGCAGCACGAAACGTTGGGCAAGTTTCCTTACTCCACCGGTTACTGTTTACCTAGCAGTAAGTAAGGAACCTGGTTGTTAGTCAATTGGTGGATCACTTTTCCGGAGGTAATAATTCCTTCAAAATAAATAAAAATAATTTGGTCATTCAATCCATGGGACACTGTTGTGCACAATTGGCTGTCGCATTTCGCTCACAAAAATATCCAATCAGTTCACTTTACAGTATATTCTGTGAAGCTCTTTGAGATGTCTTGAACATACAATAATGAGCTAAAGGATTATTATTGTTTATTTTCTCCAATTGGCTGCTACATAACAGTAGTGGAAGTTGAGAGCTGTGCCCAATATATTAGGTTCTGATTCTGCTTCGTTATTTTACTGTCCCATTGTCTTTAGTGGCTATCTCAGTAGTCAAGTTCCTAAGATAGGCGGGTCCGCAGTTACTCCAGGGCACTGCCTTTGACAGCTCATTGCCAGGACTTAGAAGGGCAGACAATAATAATAATAATAATCCTTGCATTTGATATAGCGCTTTTCACGTTGGGAGGACGTCCCAAAGCGCTTCCCAGGACACACTGTAAAGTGAATTGACTGTATATTTGTGGGCGAACGCGGCAGCCAATTGCGCACAGCAATGTCCCACAAACAGTCGTAGATTGAAAATGACCAATTTATTATTGTTTTGTTTTTTTGGAGGGATTATTATTAGGCGTGTGGAGTAAGGAAACTGACAAGTCACTGGGGGTAGGGTTCTTCCCACTCAGCTCCGATTAACCCTGCAAGCCAAAGCTCTACCAGGTAGGGTGATCCTAGCTAGAGAAGCAAACCAGGAAACAGTGCTTTAATGGCAAGCAGTACGGTTTTAGCTGATTAGACTACAGTAGTAGCCTGATTCACACTTTAGGGTCCCCAAGCCTTGGCTCTTACTAACCCGTGCCTAATACTTTCCAGAATAAGGTAAGCAGGATGCGTCTCTCTAGAGAGCGAGTGGCATTCCATTCCAGCAGATATCTCTGGAATGTGTCAGTGCGATGCATGGACTTCTCACTTTGGTTTGGATACTGAAGCATGTTGATGAGTTTCCGCTTGTGTCAGACACCGGCTGACCAAAGAAAATTACTATTTCCAAAACTTGAATAGCTGGCAAAGGTGGAAGATGTTTCTTGATGTCAAAGTATGTTTGCCTCAGAGTATGCTGGCTTTTTCAGATGAAGCTATAGTATTAAACCCAAAGTATTCCTGAAAACTGATTGATTACTGGGGTCAATTGTTGCAGAACTCTGTTTTGAACCCAAACCAGAAGGATTGATTGAATCTGATTGGAAAAAAGATGAGTCAAATTTTCAGTTTTGATATTATAAATGTTGGCTTTTGATAGTATAATTGTTAGGTTGATTAAGTTGAGGGTCATCAGTCCTTGGGAATAGATCATTTTGCGCAATTGAAATTGCAGGAACAGTTACAAAAAATGTAAAATCTCTACCACATATGAAAGTATTGTACTTTCAGCGTTTTAACTATACTTGCATAATAAAACACTAATTTCAAAAGTTTTTTTTCAGTGAAATAGCTGTTTAGATGCATATCCAAGACATTTGGGGCAATAGATATTTGGATAGTCTTCTTTGCCTGGAATAGCCTGTTAGTAATGCAAATATAACAAACTATCTGCAATAACAATATGGTTTTCTGCCGACTCGCTCACTAGCTTAAGTGACCTACTCTAATCGTGTGAACGACTGAAGGGTTCTATGGAGGGAAGACAAAATGATGACTTTCTGTCACTTTTTTTTCTCTTGCTGTAACAACAACAACTTGAATTTATATAGCGCCCTTCACGCTGGACGGTGTCTCAGAGCGCTTCCAAAGAATTCTATTTGTTTCCTTTTCGTAGTTTTCCCAAGAAATGTCCTTCATTCTTTCTTGCTCTTTTCTCCCACTCCTTGTTGTTTGTTTTGTCTTTCTTTTGTATTTGCCCTGGAAATATCCATGTGCAAAATCAACACATGGCATGCGGCAGGCACAAGATCCCCAAAATTGCTTTACACGAGTTGCTTCCATCACAAATTTGGAAGTCAGGGATCATATTCCTAATGGCTGTTTAGTGCTGAGAATTGCAAGAGTATAGGTGACTGTATGCTCAGCCACTTTATAATAATAATCCTTACATTTGATACAGCGCCTTATCGTGTCTTCGAGGCGTCTCAAAGCGCTTTACAGAATCTACTGTAAAGTGAATTGACTGTATATTTTGTGGGCGAAACACAGCAGTCACTTGCGCACAATGGTGTCCCACAAACTGTGGTGGATTGAGTGACCAAATTATTCTTTTTATTTTTGAAGAGATTATTACCCCCCGGAAAAGCGATTCGCCAATTGACTAACAACCGGGATCCTACTTACTGCTAGGTAAACAGAGGTGTTTGGAGTAAGGAAACGTGCCCAACGTTTTGCCCTAGCCGGGAATCTAACCCGGGTCCTCTCACTTGTGAGGCAACCGTCTAAACCACTAAGCTACAGGATTCCAAATTATATACTCAGTCGATTTAAACCCATAAAAGTAGATGGGGAACAATGGTATATAGTAGGAGGCAGAACAGCTTAGTCAGATAGACCTTTTAGTTGCAGTGGGTTTGGATGGCCAGTTTAGCAATTCTTTTTCAAAATGATATTCTAGTCTGCCTTCAGAAACAAAACGTTCACGTTTCTCCAAACAAAAGATGGCTTTTGCATTTTTAAAAATTTTTTCCTCTTTTTCTCATCCAAAAAGTTATTAAAATTGCTGCCAATGTCTAATGAAAAGGAGGACGCTGCAACTGTAAAGGAAGTGTTTGTGCAGGTCTGGTTCACATATTGTGTGTATAAATGGTCCTATTGACTAAATGATCCTATTGACCAACAAAAGGTTGCCTGTCGCCTTTAATAGCCTGGGGCTTTATATCCATTACGCTGGGTTCTGTGTTCCAGTTATCTGATTGTCTGTCTTTTTTATTCTTTATCCATCAGGGAATTTTTTTTGACAAAATCAAATTCGACTTTAATTGCTTTCCAAGTATAGAGGTCTTTACTTTTTGATTTTAATTTAAATTTACTAACAGGATTCCTGGTCAATAAGACAGTTAGTTGCAGATATTCCATCTTCTGAACATTAGACAAATTGATTCAAGTCGCAAATTTGTTTGTAGAACTACAAATCAGATTTTTGTTATAAAATAGCTCTGTTTTTTCTCTAGTATCTAATTTCTTAACTGTCTTTTTTTTCTCTCCACGACCCCCCCCCCCCCCCCCGCTCACCCCTCCCTCGTCATTTATCATTTCATTAATTTGCTGGTAAGAAGTGGGCTTCTGGCATCTGACAACACTGCTATTAACCTGGTCACTAGTTATTGCATGTGAATTGCCAGAGGTTGATTGATTCTCATTTTCCTCTGGATTAGGCATCCACCAAGGGGACATTGCATGTGTGACATGATCTCCTACTGACCCTGGCATTGTATTTCAGACCTTTAATGGACTTCACTACTACACTAATAGTGCTGATTTTCCTCTGCACTGTGGAGTTATCTTTTCGTTCAACTCCTTTTTAGTGTTGTGTTTTTAAACACATCCAAAATGGACTCTGTATTATGTTTCTATGATGTTGAGGCAATTGATCAAGTTAGTTTTATGTAGCATATTGAGAATCAACACTCAACTCGTCGGTCTGTCAATGTATGTTTTTAAGGCATCGGCAGCATTTTTCTCCCATCCCCAAGAACAATCAGCTATACATTATCACTAAATAAAGCTAGTGATTGTTAGAACTGAAAATAATTAATTATCTGTCAGATATTGGGAGAAGATAACACCCTTTATCTGTGCTTGCTATGAAAGTTACTGCCTGCAGAAGCCATGAGTCCAAAAGCAACTATCTGCGCCATAATGGTGGAGTCCTGTAGCTCAGTGGTTAGAGCACTCGCTTTGCAAGCGAGAGACCTGAGTTCAATTCCAGGCAGAGGGCGAAACCTTGGGCAAGTTTCCTTACTCCACACAGAGCCTAATAATAATCCCTCCAAAACCAAAAACAATAATAAATTGGTCATTTTCAATCCACGACTGTTTGTGGGACATTGCTGTGCGCCATTGGCTGCCGCGTTCGCCCACAAATATACAGTCAATTCACTTTACAGTATATTCTGTGAAGCGCTTTGGGACGTCCTCCCGACGTGAAAAGCGCTATATCAAATGCAAGGATTATTATTATTATTATAATGCTTGCAAACGAATTGGGTTTGAAGGAGGGGAGTTATTTTTTTAAACTAATACCGGCCTGGTGTGGAATTTTAACGTTGTAGTTTGGAGAAACACACGCAAGAACTGGAAATGTGAAAATTCTACAAAGGGCACGAATCTCAAAATTGAGATCAGTTCATTTCTGACCTTGAAAGTAACATCAAATGTTCGTCTGATCGAGCATAAGAAAGTCTGTCACCATTGAATTTCAATGTGAATGTTGTCACCACAGTGGCAGGATGATGCTCCTGTTATATACACTTGACCTAAGATGCAATTCTCTGCTGTTCCTACCTTTTGCCTTTTTTCTCTTTGAACCGGGGAGAACTGTACAAACACTCTGTTTTACATGTTTGTCTTTTTCTAATGTGGCGCTGCACGTGTATGTAACTGATTTCTTTTCTGAGTTGTTACATACAACCAATATTTTGGGAAAATGATGGCGCTCACCTGTAGAATTTTTAATGAAGTTAAATCTAGACTAGGACGCCTAGACATGAGAGCTTCTATCATGTGCTATTGGAGTAGGGCGTTTCATCAATTCTAACTTAACACCTTGTGATATGATGTAGCTTTCTGGGGATCTTCTTTTCCAGAACAACAATATTGTGGTGCGTTAGTCCTTCATGATGTCTGTTTTGTGCTCCTTGTTAATATACCTTTGTTAATATTTGCAGGTATTGGGATGGATACATGTGTTATTCCCTTAAGACACGGTGGTCTTTCTCTGGTTCAGACAACAGATTATTTTTATCCTATTGTTGACGATCCTTATATGATGGTGAGCAAATTTAAGTCTATTTGTGTGAAAGGAATTGTTAACAACATAATTGGCGAGAGACTTTCCTGCTCGGATCTAATGTATTAACTGCTTACTGTTATTTTGTCTTTTATGTAGAAAATGTTTCAGTTTTGTGAGTGACGTTTTAAATCGTATTCATCACACGAGTGATTGCCAGGCTGCATTGGCTCCCAAAAACCGAACGGATCGACTTTAAAATCCTCACTTGTTTTCTAATCCCTTCGTGCCCTCACACCTAACTACTTATACGATTTGCCACTCCACCACCCACTGCCTCCGCTCGGCCGGCTCCAACCTCCTGTTCGTCCCTCGCCCCACACTCCGCTCCACCATCGGCGGCCGTGTCTTCAGCCACTATGCCTCGAAGCTTTAGAACTCCCCCTCAATCCCTCCCTCCGCCTTACCCCCTTGCTCCCCACTCTCAAATCCCATCAAAAGACCTTTTGATCGTCCTTATGGTCACCTCTCCCCTCCCTCTTGCTCGGGGTCAGACTCTGCCACTGTCAAGCGCTCTGAGATGCTACTCTGCATGCAGGGCACTATATAAATGCAAGTTGTTGTTGTTGCTTATGCCATAGAATTTTTAAAATAATAATAAATAAATAATAAAAATAATTTGGTCACTCAATCCACAACTGACTGTGGGGCACTGCTGTGTGCAATTGGCTGCTGCGTTTCACCCACAAAATACACAGTCAATTCACTTTACAATATATTCTGTGAAACTCTTTGAGAGACTTCTCGAAGATGTGGTAAGCTGCTATATCAAAAGCAAGAATTATTATTATTAATTTAAATGGGACTGTTTAAGAAAAGAACATATATATTTTTCAGTAAAAATCACTGAACCCTCTTTTTATTGAGTTTCCTCCTGTTAGATATGAACTAGTAATGAGTTACACTCCCTGCAATCTATCGCTCATTTTTTTTAACTTGATCTGTAATGGCTGATTTGTACATCAACTCCCTATTACCCACCCTTGCCCCATATCCCTTGATACCTAACAAATATCGATCTACTTCAGTCTTCAAAATTTGAATGGATCCAGGATCCAGCATAGCCTTTTGGGGGAGAGAGTTCCCGATTTCCACTACCCTTTGGGTGAAAACCTGCCTAGTAACATTGAATTATGTGCATTTGGATGTAATAACATAATCAGATTTTTATATTTTCAAGTACCAATTTAAATTTGACAGTAATCCATATAAATTCATTTTGACATTTGAAATCTAATTGTACTTAAAACATTTACGCTGTGCTATTGCTTTCAGCAAATTTGGGAACTTAAGCCTATTGAATTAAGGTATACCTTTGTGATTCTACAAATGTGCTTTATTGTGTATTATATATGCTTCATGGTGGCTGTTTGGGTTATGACCACGTAGTTACAGAAATGGTAAGGTAGGCTGCGGTATTAATATTCTACAGATTAGTAAACATATCTTTGTGTCTTAACTCATAAGCTTAATCTTTCAGCTTTCACTACTTTAGTAATTGGAAAAAATAATTATTCTCATTAGGAATAGTCTAGAAAAATGTTCCAAAGAAGTGTCTGTCATGAACGTCTTTTCACTGGAGTTGGAACTTTTTTTGAATAAAATTTACAAACTGCAGATGTTTTTGTGTTAGTGATGGTCTTTAGTTAAAATTGCTTCCAGCACCTTCTAACTATGGAGGAACGGATGTTACAGGAATATAAAGCAGGCTGGCTATCTTCCAGTGGTTGGTGAATCTATTGATCTTGACAACGTACACTTGTAAAGGGATTTTCCCACATTTTACATGCTTACAGCCAAGGTTGTTGAATATAGTCTGAAATCTCCCTCAAGTAGTAATACAGATAGGTCAGTGTTCATGTAGGAGCTCTTTCAGTGCAGCATGTGAGGTCTGATGAAGAATTCTGTCTGAAATGTCACTTATCTTCCTCCATTCGATGTTTTTTTTAAAATGAGAGTTTCTCTTACTTTGTGTAAGTAGAATAGCAGCCTGACAGAAACTGGTTCTATAAAGGATGCTGACAGCTCCTCTGGTATCTTATCAAAATGACTGTTCTGATGTTTGAGCTTAGAAATGAACATTGCTTGGCTTTTTGACTTGTGTGTGATGTTGGGCAAAGTTACTGCCAAATGCAATCAAGTCCTCCCTCACCTGATGACTACATGGGCACAGTTTAATGCTCAGATGCACCTGATTTATCTGTTCAATTGATGTTACTGTTTTTTGTTAACTAAAAAAATTAATTGTCCTACTTAGCCTACATCTGCAGATCAGTCTATTCCAAGTAATATATTTGTCGGCATTAAATTCCATCTGCCGTTCCTCAGCTACTCTGGTTAAGTGGTGCAGATCAATCTTGTTCATCACCTGGCAACATAACTGAGTCATCGACACATCTATATGCTTTCCTCCATATTGATTTTATGATCAGGAAAGTTCTTGTTAGTTGAGAGTTGTCATCCGTGCTGAGATTTTTAAAATTGTCTTGCCTAAATTTAATTTTATTGCCCCATTGCGAAACCAGTTTCTAGATGATGTGATTCATTCCATGAAAAACCTCACGTGGAGAACTTGAAAATCATTATATTGATTGAGCAGTCCACATTCACTAGTTTAATAATGATAATTCTCGCATTTGATAAAGTGTCTCATCACATCATTGAGACGTCTCAATGCACATCACAGAATATACTGTAAAGTGGATTAACTGTATTTTGTGGGCGAAACATGGCAGCCAATATGCGCACAGCAGTGTCCCATAATAATTTAATAATAATTTACTTACCACCTCAAAGAAATACAGAAGTATCAAAAGTTTAGGAGTAAGAAGTAAGTGAAGTTTAGAAAATCAGCTCCAAATGTGTTGGTGGGATTCTCACCTTCACTACAAATCCCTTCACCTAACTCAGAGCCTCTGCAGCCTTGCTCTTCTACTTTCCCCCTCTGCTCAGCAAACATAGGTCTGTCTGTGTTGTGTGTTCTCCACTCCCATCATTATCAGTTGAGCCTTCACCACTCTCCCTCAACCAGTCTTCAGAAACTGCATAAAAATCTCCCTCATAAACTCTTCTTCCCGCCTACAGTCTTCATGTCCCCACGCCTTTTGTTCAGTGTCTGGCACAGTCTGTGTAAAGCACTCCCAAGATATTGCGCTAACGAAAGGGTGCAATATAAATGCATGTTGTTAATACTGTTATTTACTGTAACTTTCATGTTGAAAAGCAGTTGACAGCATATCAGCATGTGATTGAAGCTTAAAGCCCAGCAGTTGCAAGGTCCGAAGCCACGAGTGAGAATATGAATATCAGTCTCATTTACAACTGATTTGTAATTTAGAACTGTTCTTTCCGGTAAAGACTACACATGTAAAATAATAGCAGTATTGCCAATGAATCCTTTAGCCACAATGAGACAGATCTATAACAGTGCAAGTGAAAATTTGAAACACTATTGAACACTAGTTTTATTCTGCAATACTTAATACATATATTTGGATAGTTGTAACTGACTGAAAAGACATGTTGGTCACAAGAACAGACAATTTATTTTAATACATAAGATGTTCTGATTTTTGTCCTTTTTTAATTTTTCTTTCTTTTGAAAGTGGTGAAGGTGCTTTTTAATATCTTAAGTTGGGGTTTAAAATATGAATATAAATTCAGTCACTGACAATCTGATGGCGAAGTGTTTAAGGGGAAGTATTTTTGGTTGACTCAGGTTTGTTGCTGGAGTGTGAGTTGAGTTGAATTTGCTTTTGGATTTGGACTTGGGGAAACAGCGTACTTTCATTAATGGTTGCAGTGTTTAGAGAGGCTATTCTCCTCTGACTCTCTGGCAATCCTCAGTTGCTGTTGAGTTGGCTGTTTTCATATGGTGAAGTAAAGCCAATGGAAGTTAACATTGCACGTGGAAAATGACCTTTTGTCCAAAGAGAACAATCCATTATTAGACTATTTGATGGTTCATTTCAAAACAATACACACTCTAACCTTGATTCAGTTTATAATATAAAAATTAAGCACTTGTTAACCATGCCAAGAATGAAGAGAATATAAACGTCCCTTGGGTTTATTTTGTGTTCAAAATCAACATAAAGTGTAGATTAAAACTTTGGATGAATAAAAAGGCACAGTGGAGACTTGTAGTGTAGTGTTTAGAGCACTTGTATCACAAGCGAGAGACCTGGGTTCGATTCCCGGGCACGGCAAGCGTTAGGCAAGTTTCCTTCCTCCACACGCCTCTGTTGATTAGTTAGTTGGAACCTGGTTGTTAGTTGATTGACGGGTCACTTTTCTGGGTGTAATAATCCCCCTTTTTTTTAATGTAAATTGCTAATTGTGCGACCACTCTTTGTTCCCCTTCCCCCAAACTGATTGCATTTCTTTGTGATTTTCAAGAGGGGTGGAGTAGTGATTTTAAATAAATATGACTAATTCACGTGACTTTGTTTTTTCAAAGAGGTTTCTCTCCCCTCCCCCCACCCCATCTAATATCTTAGTGAAACCTAGCTGACTAGTGCCAGTGTAGTCATGGTTATTTCTACGATAAATTGAAGGCGAGATTGTTCAGGAAATTGCATTGATAATCCTAATCCTGGTACGTTCCATGAGATTAAGTGCTGTTATTGGGTCTCTTCTATCGCAAAATAGGTGCGTGGATTTTGTGGCTGCCCACACGCGGTTCCTTTTCTAATGTGATGTAGTTTTGCATGAAATTTCTCCATAGGTTTGGTTGGGTGTATTATTTAAAATTGCTTGCGACAAACTTTCAATCCACGGTAAGATCGCTCCATCTGAGAGCAAATTAACGGATACAGCCAATATTTATGAAGTCTGTCCAAATTTCATTTCAACTGCATCACAGCACACAGAAGTCTACATTTGTATCGTGTTTAGATAGGTTTGAGATTCCCCATAAGGGATTGGCTTAAACCACAATTTTATGTTCTGGTTTGATGAGAATTCTTTTTATTAGACTTTGTTTGTTTTGAAAGGATCCCTTTAGTAAGTCGTTTGGTAATTGGTACGATTGGTTAATCCAACCCTCAATTTTTTTTGCAGGGCCGAATAGCTTGTGCCAATGTTCTAAGTGACCTTTATGCCATGGGGGTCACAGAGTGTGACAACATGCTGATGCTGCTTGGCGTGAGCAATAAAATGGCAGATAAGGTAAGCTGCAATATTAACAGGCGTCCAAAACGTACTTACAAACACACAGGGTGCACCCAATCCATGGACATTGTGTAGGTTAGTAACAACGCTAAATGCACGCTTCCAAAATGTTTTAACATTTGTTCAAAGTAAAAATAGAAATTGTGCAGTTCTGTGTCAGAATCGGTTTGTTATTAGAACGATGGAAAATCCTGCTCGACTGGAAACTCCTAATATTAAGGTGCAACTACTAAGTCAACATCATGGCTCTCGTTATTGTGTGTGTTAACATCACATTTGACAGATCTGGTTGCATATATTAGTTTGCACTTCTTCCTCTTACTTCTGTCCAGAAGTTATTTCAGAAAATGTACCTTTTATGTTTCAGCAGCAAAGTACAGTTGCCAGTTTTCAAAGGGAGAGTGAAATAATGTCAGATAAATCTCACCAATAGAGTTGCATCAAAGGAAATCTAGACTGAGCTCTACATCTTTACTGGGGACTAGGTGATTTAGTTGGTTGGTTCACTGGCCTTTTATGGTGAGTTAGATTGAAGCCGTCTCGACTGGTAGAAGAGAAGTGGCTTCTGTCTGGTTGTAAAGGTGCTGCACAAAATGGGTTTCTGCAGTTTGATTCCAGCCCAACTCTGAAATGTGCTCCACATTTGGCAGGGTTGAGGGTGTAAAAATAAGAAGAGAAGCCATTCATGTTAGGGGAATAGGGTATCCACAGAGTCCCTTTTTTTTCTCCCTACAACGCATTGACCAACCACTGAAACGTGGAAGAATGATAATAATTGTATTTAGAAGTACTTAATTGTATTCAGTACAAGTGTGTAACTGTATTTAGACATCCAGAGGATCGGTGTGTTTGTGAGTGATTGCCATTATTTTCATGGCAGATAATGTTCACTGTGACATCCTCCGTAACACAGATGGAGTGATGAGGCGAAATGCATCTCTAGCGGCTTGTTTCAGCTCCTCCATAGTCTTGGATCGCTAATTTGTAACAGGGAGTAACATGACTTTGTGGACACCCTGTAGGATTTACTCTTCCTAAATTGGGGTGGTTGGGTTAAAGAGAGTTCCGCTCCACATCTGATTTGGGAAAGCGTGAGGGTCAGAATTATGAGGAGAAGGTTGTATTCCCAATGCTGACCGAATTTCCTCATCTCATTGAGCAATGAAATTATCCACAAAGTTTTTCTCTTCCCTCACCCCCTTTTTGTTAGGGGGAAAGTAACTTTAATTCATGTGATTTGTTTAACAGTACAAAGTTTTATTGCGCATGACTCGTATCCAAGTTTTTGGCATTTTAATACCGACTTAAAGAGAAGGGAGTTTCTTCCTGACCAACTTATCTTCAACATAAAATTGGTCATTCACTTCACTGCTATCTGTTAATTGGCTGTCTTGTTCTCCTACAAACTCACTACACTTCACAGTGAATTCTTTAAGCACATCGAGAGATCCTCCCAATATGAAAGAAGCATCAAATCCAATTATTATAATAATGAACCTGTGTGTTTTTAAAAAAAAGGAAACTAAAGCTCATCAAACATCTTAAAGTTTTAATTGTGTTTTATATACAGGAGCGGGACAAAGTAATGCCACTAATAATACAGGGTTTTAAAGATGCGGCGGATGAGGCAGGTACAGCAGTCACGGGCGGACAAACGGTATTAAACCCTTGGATCATATTAGGAGGTGTGGCCACTACAGTCTGTCAGCCAAATGAATTTATCATGTAAGTTGAATCACTGGTACGTATGATGGTTTGTAAAATATTGTCTGGGCTTCGATATTTTCATTTGGTGCCGGCCTAGTTCAATTGGCAGCACCTTTCGCCTCCGAGGTTGTGGATTCAAACCCACGGTGGAAGTTTGAACTCGCGGTTTAGGCTGGAACTCCAATACAGTGCTGGAGGAGCGCTGCATTGTCAGAGGTGCTGTCCTTCAGATGAGACGTTCAATCGAGGTCACATCTGCCTTTTCAGGTGGATGTTAAAGATCCCATGGGGTTATTTGTGAAGAGAAGGGAGTTTCTCTCTCCCAGTCACCAGGCCAACAATCCCCCAAAATAAAATTGGTCATTCGCTTTCATGGCTGTTTTTTGGACATTGGTATGTGCAAATTGGCTTCTATGTTTGCCTACAAAATAGTCACTACACTTTACAACAAATGCTGTGAAGTGCTTTGAGACCTTCTCCCGGCGTGAAAGGTGGTGTATCAAAAGCAAGAATTTATTTATTTAGTTTTGAGGAAAACTGCAAAGTTGTGTTATACAGGCAACGTCCCAGTTGAATGTGAGTTGGAGGTTTGAGACAAATTCTTAACATTTCAACAAGGATATATGAGATTGTGCCCATGAACTGTCCATCTCATTAAAAAAAAATTGTGGCTCTGCTCTCACCTTAGCGTAGGCGCTGTGAGACTAGGTTTACAAAAAAGATATGAAGTGAAAACTTCTGCCATTACAACCATATCACGTACTTGCGTCCAGCTGGCATGCAATGTACAGTGAAAAAGACCAAGACTCTGAATGCCTAGTACACTAGAACACCATTCACTAGTGACAGGGATTCTTCCCACTCGACTCCTGTTAACCCCACAAGCCAAAGCCCTATCTGTGGGTAACAACGGGGCAAGGGTGATCCTAGCTGGACAGACAGTGTAGGAAGCTTGCCAGGACTCTCGGTAGCAAGGTGTGTTTAGCTGGTTAAACTGCAGCAGTGTCCCAGCGCACACCTGGAGGTCGCCAAACCTCAGCGCTCACTCAAGCTCTCCAGAATTTTAACTGCTCAAATACTCTGCTGTTTTTAGGAGAAGGGGGTGGGGAGAGGTTCAAATCCACAGAGGAACATTTGTGGGGAAGAAAGCAGGTCCTAGAAGCCCCCGTCCCACACACAGGTCTTAGTATCTAAACGTTCACAGAAAACAAAGATCCTTTTGAAGTATTGCGGTTTTGAGAGGTCAATTGTTGAGAAAGTATGTTTTCCTTTGAAATCGGGATTCACCATCTGGCCAAGCCTGCAGGTAGGTTCCTGCGCATCTTTGTAATCAACTTGTCTGTGTTCCGTGTTGCTATGTTTTTTGGCTTGTTCACAGCCTAATCATACCGTAATGCCTTTTCGCAATATTTTCTAAAAACGTTGATGCGACGAAAATGTTTAAGCACAACTTCAAACTCCTTTGAGGTTTGGTTTAAAACTTAAAACCTAACCCTTGGATGCAAAGGCAACAACAAATGACGTGTGTACAGCGCCTTCCATGTCGGGGGGACGTCCCAAGGCGTTGGACAGTCAGGGAGGGATTCAGACCTGAACAAGCCCTTTGATTCCTGTGTGTTGAGCAATCATGGCAAATTGACATTTGATCCTTCAGATTCCAGTTTTGTGTCTCTAAATTGCTATCTTTATTCCATGCGAGAAAAGCTTTGCCGTTGTTTCTTTCAGCTTTTCTTTTCCTTACCTTCTGCATCAGTCCCTCATGCCCTCTGTTCCTCCATTAGTGCCGCACTTTCAGCCACCTCGCCCCGAAACTCTGGAACACTCTTCCTCTACCTCTCCGCCTTGCCCTTCCTCTTCCCTAACTTAAGTGTTCACAAGAATGTTTAGTTAACTTGCGGCATCGAAGCCCATTAAAGTGACCTGACTGCAATCTGTCATAGCTGCTACGCAAACATGGGTGCGACCTTCCCAGTATTGTTTGGGGAAAGCAACTTGCTTGGATGAGGTTCCTCACTTTGTGCGCGCATATTTTCCTCCCCTTTTCACAGATCCAGCAACTGGCTTTTTCACAACAGCACAGAGGAGATTCTTCTCATTGCATCAACCTGCATCCTATGACTCCATTGTGTATTACATTGAAGACTAGTGCACCATGGCGCCCTCTGCTGCAATCGTTTATCTGCTTCAATCTATTTCCATTTTCTGTAACGTGTTCCACGTATTTGAGGGGTGTAAAATTCTGTATTATAAATAATAATAATAATAATAATCATTGCATTTGAGATAGCACCTTATCACATCTTCACAAGACGTTTCAAAGAGCTTCACAGAATATACTGTGAAGCTTAGTGACTGTGTGTTTTGTGAGTGAAACATATTGGTTGTATTTTTATTGTATGCAAAAGGCCTCCTATCTTCTCATTGGCAAATTATGCACTGTATTGTTGGATCTATCTACATGCCTGCCATGTACTTCATATGGGAACTATCTGATGCTCTCTGCAAGTCCTATGAAACTGGCAGTTTTCATTTGTTTTACCTCTGTCAATAGGTGTACAATGTTTTCATTTCAGAGAGAGACCTGAACATTTTTAAATAGGAATTTTATTTTACAAAATCCTATATCTAACTTCTTTATTTTTTATAATCATTTCTTCGAAATGTGAGAGTCACTTGGCATTAGCTGTTTGGACAAAACTCCTCATTGGAATTGAATATAATAATCCTTGCAATTGATATAGCACCTTATCACGTCAAGGCATCTCAAAGGACTTCACAGGATTTACTGTGAATTGTAATGTCTTTATTTTATGAGTGCATATATGCTGTCTAAGGAGTGTTCAGATAAGGTATTAAACTGAATTCCAGTATGCATATTCACATGAGTCTTGAAGATGTTACAAGATTGGTTTGGATGAAGAAGACCCTTTGGCCCGTCTGATCTTGTCCTTCCAGAATACCCACCACACTGCACTCCCATCACAGCTTCAAGCAGTTTATTGAGTGCCCTGGCCTCAACCACTCTTTCTGGCAATCTGTTCTTGCCGTTAAATGCTGTCTTAAATAATGAAAAAATGTCCTGGTATATATCCTGAAATTGCTCCTTTACAACTGTAAACCTATACCCTCTTGTTCTACTGTCTTGGTTCAACCTAAAGTAATGTTCTGGGATTACTTTTACAATCCCTCTGATTTGTCTTCTCTGAAGACTGAAAAGCTCCTGCTAATCATTGCTCATAGACCATTCCTCTAACACTGGGGGTCATTCTTCAAGGATGGCACTCCTTGGAGAACAGTAGGGAGTTTTCCTCCCATATTTCTCTCATCCAAAATTCACCCAAAAAAAACGATTTGATCATTTATCTCATTGCTGTTTGTGGGATGTTGCAGGTGCAGATTAGCTGCTGTGGTTGCCTACAAAAAGGTGACTCCACTTCAAAAATAAATCCTTGACTGAAGCATTTTGAGATGTCACTATGATGAAGCGCTGTATCAAATGCCACTGGTAGGAGCCTGTTTTTCCTCCCTATCCTATACAGATGGACTTTTGTGAAGTTACGTATTTAATTTGTAAACGTGAAATTCCTTGCAGGGATTGTGGGGATTAAAGATCTGAAGAATACAAGTATAGATTATTTTGCTCTCAGCAACGTGACGAGTGGTAAAACTAGTAGTAGTAACTCGTGCTGACTGCGATAACTTGTGGGTGCATTCTTACACTCCATCACACCAAGAAATGGATAATCACCTAATGGCCAATGCTTCATGTGTGTATCAACAGGCAAAAATAATGATAATAATAATAATAATTTTGCCCACCAAATATACAGTCACTCCACTTTACAATATATCCTGTGAAGCACTTTGAAATATCTGGAAGAAGTGATGCGCAAGGAATGCAAGGATTATTATTATTATTGCACAGGTATGAATCAAGACACTGGATTCCAGGCAGGTTTCAGCATTCTGAGAAGAATCCTTTAGGAAAGGGGTAACATGAATACAGTTTATATTCATCCGAGCCTACCCAGTCAAGCCTTCCTGTCTTCAATAAATTAAACTTAACAATCTGAAGGTTACGTGTAATTAATACAGTAATCTTGGTTAATAGAGCTATGAGAGTGTGCAAGCACAATAGCCAATTGACCAGATTAATACATAAAATGTACTATTTTATAACTCATTGAATTTACACTGTTTTGCAGGCCAGATAATGCAGTGCCTGGGGATGTTCTGGTACTAACAAAACCACTGGGAACACAAGTTGCGGTTGCTGTGCACCAATGGCTTGACATTGTAAGTACCTGAGCACTAGTGGTGCAGCTGTTTGTCATGGAATGTATATTTTGTACTAAATTTTATGTGTTTCAAGCACTACCTCCTTTCCTCTAAAATCTGATTTTCAAGGTACCTACCTGGTTATGTTTTAAAAATTACCATTAAAGCTACATTGATGTGTTGCATTGCGTGAGAGAGGGCATGGGAGAAGGGATTTTCTCATGATTATAAACCAAAGTTTTGCAGAACATGTGGGCACTATTTAATATGGCCTGAAAGCATCTTGGGAAGTAAACATTTCTTCAAAGAATTCTAATGGTTGAACGCTTGAATGATATAATTATACTATGATAATATTGCTTGGTATGTTGACTGCCCCGTGTCTGCTTTTTCACAGCCCGAGAAGTGGAACAAGATCAAGCTCGTTGTAACTCAAGAGGATGTAGAGTTGGCTTACCAGGAGGCTATGATGAACATGGCGCGGTTAAACAGAACGGGTATGGGCTGTTTGGTTTATGCGTTCAGTAAAATCTAAGCCTTTAAATTATTGGCGCTGTAAAGGTTGCACGTTTGTTTGCTGATTGCTGTTGTATCGAGGGATTTGGGATGCTTGGGAGATGTTTCTAGATTTGGTAGGGGTTAAAGGTGTTGAAGATTGAGACACAGCAGCTATTTAAGAGATCGATCGGAAATGCTGAGGTCTGGGTGGCCGGTGGGCCATAGGGTGAGGGAGTACAGAGGTTGGGATGTATGGGATAAGTTCCCCCCCCACCCCCCAGACGTGGTAAGAGAGGGTAATAGACTTAGTGATGGACAGAAGGATGTGGGAAGTAAGGGAAATGAAAAAAAGTGGTCAGAGGTAACCTGTGGGTAATTGAGATAAACAAGTGTGGAATTATAAAACCCAAAATGTCCCTTCTTTCGAGCATAACGTTGTGCATGAACCCGTAACAACAGTTAATGGCTGAATATTTGAAATTCTCAAACTTTACAGTTTTTGTTAAGAGTCGGAATATTTTTGTTCTGCTTTTCGGAAGAGCCTGCCATCCCTTGTGTAACCAACAGGGGGCACACTACACCTAACAGATCCAAATTAATATTCCTTACGTCTGGTTTAGGACCTTTCGCCATGTGGCTGTGCCAAAGCGCTTCACAGGATACACTGTAAAGTGTATTAACTGTTTTGTGAGCAAATGTGGCGGCCAATTTTGCTCACAATGTCCCTGCGAACCTCCTCGAAGTGAATGACCAATTTTAAAGGTTTCTGGTGTAAGGAGAAAAGGACTCGGCTGTTATGCTTCAAATATGACATTCGGGGTTCCTTACTCCGCACGCTTCTGCTTACCTTGCAGTAAGTAGGAACCTGATTGTTAGTCGTTTGGTGGATCACTTTCCGGGAGTAATAATACCTCCAAAGAAAATCCACGGATGTTTGTGGGACGCTGCTGTGCGAACTTGGCTACCATGTTTCTCCCACAAAATACATAGTCACTCCACTTTACAATATATTCTGTGAAGCGCTTTGTGACACCTCAAGGGCGTGATAAGGCACTGTACCGAATGCAAGGATTATTTGTTATTAAATGATGAGCTAACAGGATGCTTGGAACAGATTTTTAATAAACTTAAGTTTTTAACGCTCAAAATTTTCCCTTTCCGTGCGCCGTCCGCTAACGTTTGTCTGTCCGCCTCTTGTTTTCCCAGCTGCCGGCCTCATGCACACCTTCAACGCGCACGCAGCGACGGACATCACAGGTTTCGGGATTCTCGGGCATGCTCAGAACCTGGCAAAGCAGCAAAGGAACGAAGTTTCATTTGTCATCCACAACCTGCCTGTCCTTGCCAAGATGGCAGCTGTGAGCAAGGCGTGTGGCAATATGTTTGGCTTGATGCATGGGACTTGCCCTGAAACCTCAGGTAAGGACAATTGATTTGTTAGTTATAGTCCACCGAATATGATCGTAGAATATTACAGCACAGAAGGAGACTGTTCAGCTATCTGGTTCTTTTGCCATTTGCTTTTTTTAAAGTTTTTTTTGCTGGAAGCTCCATTAAAACCCATGTTGAATGCGTGTTTCTCCATTTGTAAGAGTACTTTGCAGCAGTGCTTTTTAATAAGGTTTTCCCTTAAGAACGTTTAGACGTTGCATCAATGACGAGGATTATAAGGCATCCCCATGGTGGAGAGGACCTGTGATAGACAGCGCTGGGTTGCGATGTGACCAGTCCTCGCCCAAGCTCTACTGGCTCCCGATCACAGAACGGATCGAATTCAAGATCCTCTCACTCTTCTACAAATCCCTTCATGCCCTCGCACCTCCCTACCTCTCTGACCTGCTTACTCCCTAACCCACTACCCGCTGCCTCCGCTCGGCTGGCTCTGGCCTCCCTCGTCCCCTCCGCTCCACCATCGGCCACTACGCCCCGATTTGGTTACTCAATCTATGGCTGTTTGTGGAACACTGTTGTGCGCAATTGGCTGCCGCGTTCGCCCGCAAATATACAGTCAATTCACTTTACAGTGTGTTCTGTGAAGCGCTTTGGGATGTCCTCCCGACGTGAAAAGCGCTATATCAAATGCAAGGATTATTATTATCCTGTGAAGCGCTTTGAGAGACGTCTCGAAGACGTAAGGCGCGGTATCATATGCAAGGATTATTATTATTATAATATAGCATGTCTCCCCCAGAGGACTAACCTGACTGAGATACTTACTGGGACGTGAATAACTATCGTCGTGACATTGTCCCGCCTTGCTTGTTTTGCAGGAGGCCTTTTGATCTGCCTTCCACGGGAACAAGCAGCTCGATTTTGTGCGGAGATCAAATCACCAAAGTATGGTGAGGGCTATCAGGCATGGATTATTGGCATAGTGGAGAAGGGCAACCGTACTGCCAGGATCATAGACAAACCGCGGATCATCGAAGTCGCTCCAACAGTGGCCACTCAGAACGTCAACCCAACTCCTGGTGCCACGTCCTAATAACCGCAACACACACACAACAAACACAACAGCAACAATGACATTTGTTGAAATTCCAATGCCATCCCAAGCAACTTTGTAAATCTTAACTTGTCTGCCTAAAGTGTCGGCCTTTTGGGCTGGCAGATCACGTGTGGATCTCAAAATAAATCCATTGCCTTGTTTTTTTTTTCTGTTACATTAACTGAAGATGCGCCTAATACTGAGGCAGCTTCTAAGTTGAGAAATGATTATCCAATACTGTTGATTCATTTTGAATCTTGAGACACTTACTGTCTGGCTCTTTTTAAGGTGCTTCCCGTAGAACACACCTTTACCAACAGCACTGCAGCAGCTTTTCATTTGTTTGGTCACATATTATCTATATAAATATATATATATAAATATATATATTCTAATGGAAAAACTACTCGTCTGCAAATGTGTTGCCTTGAAAGCTTTTTTCAGAAAGAGTTGCTTATTGCAGTTGTTGATTCCCCCAACGATTAATGAATGGAATGCAACGAGTTCGCATGATTTCATCCAGTTTTTGGTTGGTAATGTTTATTCACACAGTTAGGATTGCAACGTTAAGTGTTGACTTTACACAGTCGCTCGGTCTTGTGTGGATTTTCTTTCTCCCCTCACCCCCACCCCATGCCCTATCCCTCCGAGAAAAATACACCAAGTAAGTAGGTCCTCTGTGCTATAATCCGCATGGTCCATCGAGCACTTGCCTTGGAAAGAGAACCAATTTCTTTAGCAGTAAAACAATAATGTTCTGACGGTATGTTTCTCTGTTAGTTTATTGTGTAGGAGCAGACGCAGATGTACATCGCTGGTTTACACTGTGCTTCGGTTCACTGTTCTATCATGCAGACAAAACGTTGCAGACCAAAAGAGAAGGCTATTGCAAGATACTCTAGCTCCGACTGAAAAATTACACTGACTTTTTTAAAAATATATATATAATCAATTATGTTTGACATGTGCTGTGGTTATTCGTGTTTAATACATTTTATATTTTGTAAAGTGATACCTTGCATCCGCTTTTCTATAAATGCAACTAATCTTTAGCATAATGCTACTTAGCTTTATTTTTTTATTACGCACTTGATTCTCGTGCTCACTGGCATTTGTTATACTTGACTCTCGTGCCAATGTCCACAGCTTGAAGTTGAACTCAATGGGATTTAATTTGCGGCACTTATCAACAACAGACTGGTAAACTACTGTACTTCCCTAGCTATCTATCTGATGTGCTGAGGAATGTGTGTGTTCACCAGCACATCAGATTGTTATAGGTGTTTGATATTTAGACTTGGAGTCCTGTAGTGTAGTGGTTAGAGCACTCGCCTTGCAAGCGAGGGGATCTGGGTTTGATTCCCGGGCAGGGCGAAACCTTAGGCATGTTTCCTTACTCCACACGCGCGCCTCTGTTTACCTAAATAAAACATGACATAAATAAAATAATAATAATTTGGTCACTCAATCCACAACTGATTGCGGGGCACTGCTGTGTGCAATTTGGCTGCCACGTTTCTCCCACAAAATCTACAGTCCATTCACTGCAGTACATTCTGTGAAGTGCTGTGAGATGTCTCAAAGACGTGATAACGAGCTAAACCGAAAAGCAAGGATTATTAATTCTCATTGAGCAAACCGCTCAGAAATGCCGCAAATTAAATCCCGGCTTTCAAATGAATCCATAAGGGATTTTCTTTCTCTCTCTCTCCCTTTTTCTTGCACATTTTGTTCGTAAGCAAACGCCTTTATTCCTGTACATGTTAAATGTATCGCAAGTTTGTTCATGGTGGGGGGGGGTGGGGGGAGGTTTTCTTTCTCTCTTCCCACCCCATCCTCCCCAATATTGCATTTCACACAGCACAATAACCCAGTTCATTAAATTGCAGATTTGTTAGAAAGACGGTTGATTTTATTACCCTGTCCTCTCCTTCTCCCTCTGCTGCCGCTGTTTTAGTGGGGGGGGGGGGGGGGGGGAGAGGCAGAGAGAGGAGGGGATGACTGAGGATTTGCATATTCTTAGATAAATCAGATTAACCCACACGTAGTGAAGCGTTCACACGTGAACTGTTGAGAATTTGAGCGCCCCGAGTCGTGTGGTTTGTAACTGTAACTGCACTTTTTGTTCTGCAACACGTTAAAATAATAATCCCTACACCCGATACAGCGCCTTATCACGTCATCGAGACATCTCAAAGCGCTTCACAGAAGATACTGTAAAGTGAATCGACTGTAGAGTTTAATCCCTGTTGTTTTTGGAGCTCCTCGCGTTTTTTGTGAAGGTTCGCACGACTCCCATGTTGTTGTTGTTGAGGACAAGTGAGCAAAACCTCTCTCAGTATCAGAGCGGCTGATACTTTGGACTCTTGGACTGTTTATAGTTGGTGTCTCTCAGTGATCGCCTGTGGGGAGGAGTCCCTGTGGTTCCTCCTCATTTGTTTCCTTTTCCTACTGCCTCCACTCCCCCCACCCCACCCCTCCTAATAAAAAACACTACCACCGCAGTCACCTCCAAGAAACTTGAGTATTTCAGTTGTTAAAGCCATGTCTTAATAAATGGATTGAAAGATACCAGAAATGTCTGTAAGGGGTGAAATGGCCTGGAAATGTTACCAGAAGCAGAAGATGGCAGAAGTGAACCGACATCCTTAATAATAATAATAATAATAATCCTTGCATCATTTTGACCAATGAAGACCCAATCAGATACATATTTCAACTTGCTGGGTTTCGCCCCCAGAATATACAGTCAATGTACACAAAACAAATCCTAGAACTTGCCCAACAAAATGAGGTGGAAAGATGATGTTTTGAGGTTTCTCTCTCTAGATGTATATTGTTTGTCTACAAAAAAAAATGACTAATTACTGTGTGTGACTTAGGATCATTTCGATGTAAGTGCTATAAAAATGCCAGTTCCTCTAATCTGTGATGGGTTTTATAACCGCAGGAGACGCATCAGAGATTTGGTTGGATGTGAGAGCGAGTGGTGGACTTGGCATTCAATCAAGGAGAAAGGTGTTGAGTTGCAGACTGGTTATCTCAATGCCGGTGATAGGAATGACATGTGTGGCAGCAGGTTACAGAATCCTATTCCTCCTCAGCTGAAGAGCTCAGAGGTCTGCAAGGAATAAAGGATTTAGAAGCAACAGGAGGTGACCCAATAATCGCCATCAAACCAGTTTGAAAACCTACCGAGATTGAATCAGGTACTTAGGTTTGGGACGCAACTAGCAATAATACTCCTTGCATTTGATGAAGAGCTTTATCGTGTCTTCGAGGCGTCTCGAAGAGCTTCACAGGATATACTGTGTGGTGAATTGACTGTGTATTTTGTGGTGAAACGCGGCAGCCAGTTGCGCACAGCAGCGTCCCACAAACAGTTGTGGATTGGGTGACCAAATTATTACTATTTTTGTTCGAAGGAATTATTATTCCCCCAGAAAGCGATCTGATTAAATTAAATTCAAGTCCAAAAGTTTAATCAGCCACAGCATTGTGTGACCCAATTACAAATATGAATCTTTTATCTGTTTTTATTTAAGCAGTGAATTGTCTGTATACATCTATCATTCCTCCTACGGGTGTGAAAAGCCGAGTGGGAGGGGAATTCTATTAAGGTTAATGTTCACTGCCTGGTTTCTGAATTGCTGGAGTGATTGATTGATTGAGAATACATTAAGGTGCTTCTCAGTTTCTGCTGCTACAATAAAACACAGTTTTAACATACAGATGTTCTGAATCCCAGAAGAAAATATCTCCTGTATGTTCATCACAACTGTCTTTTGTTTGTTCCCTTTTTTATATAAAAATAACTTTTTTTGTTATCGTACACGCAGTGCCTGTCTTTAATTTCTCCATAGCTCAATTGCATGGATGTTGATAGTACAAAAGGAGACTATATAAAGTATGTATGACCTATTGCACATACTAATAAATGCTAGCTTTCCCTGCTGGGGCGATCTACTCAACACTATTCCTCTATTCTCTCTCCTTATCGCTGTTTCTCACTCTCCTACTGTTAACTGTAGATCCCAACTCAGTTCACTTTGCGTGCTGCTGGTGTCTGTTGTCGACATCTTCGCAGCATGTCCTTGTATTCACCGAAATCTCGCTGAAGTTAGTACAATAAACCTGTGAGTATGAGTTGTGTCAAACTTGCACAGAATATAAACTCTCGAACAGGACTTGAGCAGATGTACGACGATACGATTTATACAGACCAGACTTGTGTGAGTGTTACTGTGTATACAAAATGAAAAGTACCTTACTCTGGTCTATATGAGATGTTCAAACTGCATGTCATGTCGACGTTTACACGTATCAACTCGGTGGCAGAAACTTTCACAAACGTATCACGAGAGACGTAATGCTTGCATTTGATAATCTTTGCTTTTGATATCACGTCTTCGAGACGGCTCGCAGCGCTTCACAGAATATAAAGTGAATCGACTGTATTTTGGGGACACCTGTAATAGCTGCACACTCCCTATGAATGTGGTTTTATAAAAGGAACATAATTAATAATTAAAAACTCGATGAGTAAGGACTTCTGATTCACCCTGTATTGTTTTAAAGAGAACTGTTTGAAACTCCCAGCTCGGCGTTGAGTTCCGCCACTGCGAGACGCTATCCTGTGTGAAGGGCGGCATATAAATGCAAAGTGTTGTTGTTGTTTATGGGGCCAGAGGGGTGGGAGGGGGACAGGAGAGTGAGAGATGTGACGTATCCCGGACTATCTAACGTTTACCCAATGGAAGGGAGGTTATGCCCCCTATTTCAATGTTTGATTATTCAGAAATCCGAGTGCTCAGAGATGTGCTACCTCTATGTTCCTGTGTTTTACTACATACAACCAGATAGTTTTTACTTGTCGCGATGCCATCATATAGCAATGGAACATCTTCATATCTGACAAGACATCCCATTTCTATGTAAAATGCCTTATTGCTTATGTGCACCTGTAAGAGCAATAGGGATGAAATATAAACTATCTTTGATAATAAATGTCAACACTACCTCCTGTTTGAAAGGATCAACGCAATGTCTCGACCGTGTTGTGGGACTTGTAGTTTTACTGGCTCCGTCTTTAAGGATCTCCATACCATTTCTGCTTTTAAAATGCAGACTTTTTCTTCCCTCAATAAAGTCAGTGACCAATAGAATCAAAGGTGCAAAAGTAAAATAATAATCCTTGTGTTTGATACAGCGCCTTATCGTGTCTCTGAGATGTCTCAAAGCGCTTCACAGAATATACTGTAAAGTGAATTGACTGTATATTTTGTGGGTGAAACGCGGCAGCCAATACCAGATTCAGGCGCCACACTCTTTGGGCAGTTTGTTGCTTTGTCATTAGTCATCCACCAAAGTTAAGAGCCATACGTTGTAGAGAATTGTGTTTTCTCGTCTCAACAACTCTGAACTCTCTCTGAAAGCTTAGTGCATCCACGACTAGACAACCGTTCCGGTACAATTGCTGTGCCCAGTTGGCTTGCATTTCATACACAAGTCACAAAAATACACGAGTCAGTTCATTTTACGGGATATTCTGTGAAGCGCCTTGAGGTGTCTCAACGATGTGATAAGGCGCTATATCAAATACATATTATTGTTCTCTCTTGCTGGGTAGAATACCAGAAAAGGGCTTTTTACATCCGATCTTATCTTCAGCCCTTTGGAACATCCTCCTGACATGAAAGGCACTACATGATGTAAATTTGTGTTTTATCTACTCCCAAGTGCATTTAAGAGAGTCGCCAGTCTTGACAGTAATTATTGTGATCGCTTTGTGAGGATGTTTCACTGTGATAAGATATAATTGTGTATATGTACATATATCTATAGTCAAAACGTGACTATAAAAACGTGAATTATTATTAATTTGCAAAGAACTCAGTTGCTTTTAATACAAGCGCACTTTCAGCAGCAAATAGCTCCTCCTGTCAATAATAATAATAATCCTTGCATTTAATACAGTGCATTATCACGTTGTTTCGTTGTCTCAAAGCGCTTCGCAGAATATACTGTAAATTGAAAGGCAAAATACTGCAGGTGCTGGAGAGCCGAAACAAACAAGTCGCTGGGAACACGCAGCAGGTCAAGCACCGTCTACGGAGAGAGGAAAGCGAGTTAATGTTTCAGATCGATGGCCTTTCGTCAGAAGTGGGGGACGTTTGAATGGAGCGGATTATAAGTACAAGCGGAGAAGGCCGCGGGGAAAGAAAGATGGAGGAAAAATTTAGGTGGAGACGACAGGAGCTGACGAGATCGGAGGTGTCGATGGTTCAAGAAGAAAGAAGGCAATAGTGGGAGATTATAGAAAGAAAAGGCGTGAATGAGACCCAGAGGATGTATGAATGGTTAAAGAAGAGGTGGGGGGGGGGGGAGGCAAGGCTGAGAGAAGATGAGAGCTGTGTAAGTGTAGTGACCGTATATTTTGCGGGGCGAAACGCGGCAGCAAATTGCGCTCGGCAGCGTTCCGCAAACAGTCGTGACCGAATCGTATTATTTTTTGTGTGCGAAGGGAATATTAGCCCTGGAAAGCAATCCACCAATCGACTCAGAGACTGAAAGAGAGAGAGAGGCTGACGGGACTGCCAACGCTCACTCCGCACTGCACAGTGTGGGGAGTCCAATGGAGCGGCGAATTTCATTTGAAGGATGCCTCCCCTTCCTGTGTATTCAGTGGCTGTTAGTGTTGAACCATGGCTGTCGCAGCTGCCAGGCTGAAAGTGCTTCTGCACCATCTGCAACACCCTGGCGTTGGATTCGTATCCTTTTTCTCACTGTCAGCGACTCACGTGCGCGTTGCACGGAGCGAGCAAAGTGGAGGCACGTTTAATGGGATTGAGTGCTGAAGTCCGCGCATTGCCTTAAGCACTTTAGCTCCAGTGCTTTCTGAAGCCCACAGGCCACGTTTGCTAGCTGTAAACCCTGTTTGCGTCTCCAGCTTTGTCACCGTTGCGGTGACATCGAAATTGGATTGACCCGCTGTGCAATAATCCCTTCAGAGAAATGATAAGGATTTGGTCGGTCAATCCGCGACTGTTCGTATGGACGACGACGGCCAAGTTACATTTGGGAGGATGTCCCAAGGCGCAGGACGCCTCCGTGCGCAATGGGCTGCCGTGGTTCGTCCACAAAATGCACAGTATGTTCCGTAAAGTAAAGTGCTTTGACACCTCAAATGCAAGGATTATTATGTTGTGATTTTCCTAATTCTAAAATGCTGCTTTCTCTCCTTAAGACACAACAAATTGCATTTACACACCACCTTTCACGTTTCAGTTTATTTATCAACTAAGTGCACCTCAAGAGCCCCAAAACTCAGAATCTGTGATTTTCTGCCCCGGGGTGGTGGGGAAGGGGTTTTAGCACTAAAGGTTGCTAAGGGGGAGTAGGACAATTATAATAATAATAATCCTTGCATTTGATATAGCGACTTATCGTGTCTTTGAGACGTCTCAAAGTGCTTCACAGAATATACTATAAAGTGAGATGACACTACGTTGTGGGAAAAACACGGCAGCCAATTGCGGAGAGCAGTGTCCCAGAGACAGTCATGAATTGAGTGATCAAATCATATATTTTTTAAGGGATTATTACCATATTGAAGGGATGGGGTTAGTGTAGTTTGCACTTTGGGTCTAAACACCTTTGGTCGCAGCCTGAACAGCACTGAAGGTGGGGGGGGATGAAAAAAGATTCTACAATTGGCTTCAATGGTGAGGTGTGAGGGCAGGAGGGGATTAAAAACAGGTTAGAGGTTTGTTCATGTTGATTTTACTTCCGTAGAACATAACAGCGTAAAATGGAGTGACTGTGTATTCTGTGGGCAAAACTCAGCAGCCAGTTTGCACACAGCAATGCACCACAAACAGGCGTCGAGTGAATGACCGATTTTTAAAACATTTTTTTGGAGGACACTGGGAGAAAGACATGCACCTGAGTGCGAGAGGACCCGGATTAAATGCAGGTTAATGAGAGCCAAGGCGTGGCGGAGGGGGGGGGCGAGCCCAGAGTGTGGAGTCGAACCAGTTTAGACCCCATAACCTGCCATTCAGAGCGTTGTCTGGTCAGCTTTCCTGCTGCTTGTAGGGTCACCCTACCCATTTGGGCTTTGACTTGCGAGGGTTAACGGGAGCTGGAAGGGAAGAATCTCTGCTTCCAGTGATGGACAGGATCATTAAACTGAAAGGAGAGAGAACCAGTGGAGGGGAGTTGTATATTTTCCCCAAGGTCACAGACTATAGATACACCCCCATCCACCTTTTCAGCCTCTCAGCCCCGAGGCTCTGGAAGTCCATCCCCCAGTGCCTTCGCCGCTTCCTCCCTTTCCTCCTTAAAGGCCGGTCTCACCTCCTCGCTCCCTCCCTTCCCTCCCCTCACCCTGACCAGTTCCCCCCTGCTCGGGTCCCGACACAACTGTCCAGCGCCTTGGGACGTCCTCCCGACGACGTGAAAGGCGCTGTATAAATGCTATCTTGTTGTTTTCAGGAAACACAATGAACTGAAATGGTAATTCAAGTTAGTTTTTCACCATCACCTTTATCGATCAGTGTGTTTTAAGCAATTGTTTCTCGCTCCTCTTTGGCTTCCTTCATTCACGTCTCAAGACAGCCGTACCCACGTCTGGGGAAGTTCAGGCTCGTCCTTGTCCCGGGAAGCTACAGTAAGTAACCGCGCGGCTGAGGAGCTGCCTTTTTTTTTTGAAGAACATTAGAACGAAGACCATCGCCGCCGCACAGTAGATCTCGGGTCAGGTCCGGGACCAGAAGATTTAATATATATTATGTCTCGGGTCAGCTCTCGAAGTCGCAGGCGAGGGTAGAAAGTCTGATTCAGATCAACTATACACACTGTGCATACGTCTTAGTTCAACGGAGCAAGTAAGTAAGTGCTCATGTGATAGCTTGTCAAGCCTGTTGGTGGGGTCCCTCCTGCTCGGTGGGTGGGGTTGTAAAGGATGTCATCCACGCGAAAATAGAATGCAAAACAGCGAGTGCCCCCAGTAGGTCTATTCGGTGAACAGTGTACTCCGCCGCCCAAACGCAGCAGCAGCTGCACCACCGGTAAAGAAGAAGGGGAAAGAATCGTCCGCCTGTTATTCTGTCATTGGTTCGTGGACCTCCCGAGGAGGGAAGTGCACCGTGCCTGGAGGTACTGCGATACCAGGTCGATGCGCGGAGTGGACGGAGCAAGCCCCTGTTCCATCTCCCTGCTCCAAAAATCATCTCTTACCCCCCACCACCACCACCCGCTCAACGTACACGGTCGGTCCTTTTGTGGCCCAAAATGCTCGCAGGGGCAGCACCATAGGCACTACCATTACCATACAATCATGAGGGGGGGTGAGGAACACAGGACAGGGAGATAAGGCCGTAAACAGGGCTTTATAAACAGGGCATTGAGTACAAGAGTCAGCAGGTGATGGTTAACCCATATAAACACTGGTTGGGCCTCAGTTAGAGTACTGCCCCAGTTCTGGGCACCGCACTGTAGGAAGGACGTTAAGGCAATGGAGAGGGCGCAGAGGGATGGGACCAGGAACGAGGCACCGTGATGATGAGGAAAGGCTGGAGAGGTTAGGATTATTCTCATCGGAGCGGAGAAGGTGACGAGGACCTGATAGAGGTCTTTAAAATCATGAGGGGTTTGATAGGTTAGAGAGGGAAAACTGTGTGTCGGTGACTCGAGGTCTCACAGATTCAAAATAGTCTCTAAAAGAAGCCGAGGGGAGGGGAGAAGAAATGTCTTCACACAGCGAGTTGTTGGAATCTGGAACGCATCGCCTGAAAGGGCGGTCGAGGCCGATTCGATATCTACTTTTAAAAACGCGGTGGACGGGTATTTGAGGAGGACGGGTTTGTAGGGTTATGGGGAAAGGGCTGAGGAGTCGGATTGACATTACATTGCTCTTTTCAAAGAGCCGCACAGACTCGATGGGCCGAATGGCCTCTTTTTGTGCTGTACGATTGTATGATTCTATGATAAGCATAATGGAAGGACGGGATATTTAGTGCGTTTTATGGGTAAATAACACAAACGCCCACACACACACACACACACACAATCCACATCACACCGCAGGGTTTCTCGTTCTCTATAATACTGTCACACATCCCATGAAATGCAAATTGCTCTCCGTCTTTTGATTCCCAGCTGTTGTCTTTCTTCTCAGCTACACACTGGAAGACGGCATTCTCTCCCCTCAACAGCGCCAGTTTTATGAGGAAAATGGCTTCCTGCTCATCAAGAACCTGGTTTCCGAAGAAAATCTGGACCTTTTCAGGTGGGCTCTCTTTGAAGAGTAAACAATTTATTCCGCCTGCCCATTCTCCTCCGACTTCCTTCCCTTCCCCTCTGCTTCTCCTTCTCACCCCATTTTCCTCCAATTGAGCACATCAGCCAATTTGCACACAGCAATGCCTCATTAAGTGAACAACACATTGTTTTTTGTATCCAGGGGACTGATGGACACTCTAATTTCATCCTTCCCCAACCCCCACCCTGTCATTTACCCAACTCCCCCCTTAGCATGAAACTGCTTTTTAATTGAGCCCCAGTGTCCCGGCCTCAACTGGTAACCCTGTTCCAGTCATTAATTACCGTCTCGGTAAAGAAATATTTCCTGGTGTCTGTCCTGAAATTGCCCTTTTGCAACTTTTAACTAAACTCAACTCATGCCCCACCCACAATCGGGAGTCTATCTTTCAGCCTCTCTGCCCCCACCCTTTGGAACTGCATCCCACAGTACCTTTGCCTCACTCCCTCTCTTGACTCCTTCAAGGCACGTCTGAAGATCTTCCTCTTCGACTGCGCTTTTGGTCACCCTCCTACTCCTACCCTCCCCGCCCTCCACCCCTCCTAATCCCAACTCCCAGGTCGGTTGTAAATCCAGACTGTCCCGACATGAAAGGCACTGTGTAATTGTCGTTTGTTGTTGTTGTTGTGTCCTCTTGTCCTACTGCCTTATCTCCTCCCATTCCTCATCTTCTGTTTCCTATAAAACTTCTCTATCTCTTGAGGGATGAATTTGAGAAGATCTGCCGTAAGGAGGTCCATGTGCCTGGGCTCATGGTGATGAGGGACGTGGCAATTTCCAAATCGGAGTTCGCCTCCGATCAGAGAGCCGTGTCCAAGATCCAGGATTTTCAGGAAAACGAGACGCTTTTCAAGTACTGCTGTTTGCCTGAGGTAAGAGCAAGAAGTTTGTAGATCAATAACAGAGGCTACTGTAATGTACTTGCAAGCAAGAGGACCCGGGTTTGATTCCCGGACAGGGCGACATCTCAAACAAGTTTCCTTGGTCGCTCAACCCACCACTGTTTGTGGGACACTGCAATGTGCAATTGGCTGCTCTGTTTTGCCCACAGAATACACAGTCAGTTCAGATCCAAGAAGACCCCACTTATCTTCACCCCCAAGGAGGATTGAGGTGGGCTTTGAACATGGGGAGCGAGCGAGTGGGAGAGATAATAGTAACAATAATAATGCTTGTATTTGATATCACACCGTATCACATCATTGAGAAGTCTTAAAGTGCTTCACACAATATACTGTCGATTGTATTTGAATGCTTTGATGGATGCTCAACCAATGTGTGATGATCCTTTAAACCTATTTTGCTTCTGCTTTTTTAGATCCTGAGATATGTGGAGAGTTTCACCGGCCCCAACATCATGGCGATGCACACCATGTTAATCAACAAGCCTCCAGATGAAGGTAGGAGACGCGGAGACCCCTGTGATTAAAAGCCTTGGCCAGGTTCCTCTCTTGCGACCACTGCCAGAAAACTCCCACCACTGCAGTTTATGTTTGGTGAGACAGATGTCTGACCCACACGGAAACCGATCTCCGTGCTTAAGAATCTCCAAACAACTTGAAAGTAGCTGCCGTGTCTCGCCCACAAAATACACAGTCACTTCACTTTACAATACGTTCTGTGAAGCGCTTTCAGACGTCTCAACGCCAGGATACAGCAGTGTCCCACAAACAGTTGTGGATTGAGTGACCAAAATTAATTTTGGAGGTTTTAATCACCTCCGGAAAGCGATCCGCCCATCGACTAAGAACCGGGTTCCTACTTAGTGCTGTAAACAGAGGTGTGTGTGTGTGTGGAGTAAGGAAACTTGCCCAACGTTTCGCCCGGGTCCTCTCGCTTGCGAGGCGAGGGTTGGCCGAACCACTGAGCACATTAATAACAAAATTACAGCCAGGGACACGTGCACCTTTCAGGAAAGAAGACTTCCCGTCACCCCATGCACCAGGATCTGCACTACTTCCCGTTCCGACCTCCCGATCGGATTGTCTGCTCCTGGACGGCGATGGAGCGCGTGGAGCGGAGTAACGGGTGTCTGGTTGTGTTGCCGGGGACGCACAAGAGCACATTGAAACAACACGTCTATCCTGAGTGGGAGGTACCTCACTTGGGCGTCTGCTAATAATAATAAGCCTTCGTTATTGCGTTTGATGTGGTGCCTCATCGTGTCATTGGGAATACAGGGAATATATATTATTAATTGCTCAAACGCACCTCGGGAGAGGGGGAAGATATTCAGGGATTCGGGGGGAGAGATGGGAAGTGGGGTTTCATTAAAAAAAAAGAGGGTGATAGCGAGGGAGAGGTGGGTGGGGGGCAGCGCTGGGCAAGACACGATGGGCCGACTGACCGCCACCTCCTGCTTGTGTATGTATTTAATGGCCAAGTTGTTTTGCTCTTTACATTTAACAGAAGCAACTCAATCAATGCAGTGCCTCAGATAAAGGCTCAGGATTTTACCGGCATCTAAAATCCAGAGAATGAGTTTCGATATTGTGTGAGGGTAACGCTGTGTTTCCTCTCTCTCCCCCCCCCTCGCCCTCCACCCCCTCTACCCCCCCCCCCCCACACCCCCACCCCACCCCCGCAGGGCGGTGTCAATAAGATGTATCACGGGGTGCAGGATTATGATCCTACCCACCCCCGGGTTCACCTGGTGATGGAGAAGGGCGACACTGTGTTCTTCCACCCGCTGCTCATCCACGGGTCTGGGCTGAACGTCACTCAGGGATTCCGCAAGGTGTGTGTGCGCGTGTCTGTGTGTGCGCGTGTCTGTGTGTGCGCGTGTCTGTGTGTGCGCGTGTCTGTGTGTGCGCGTGTCTGTGTGTGCGCGTGTCTGTGTGCGCGCGTGTCTGTGTGCGTGTGTGTGTACGTGTGTGAGTGAATGTCTCTGTGTGTGTGTTGTCTCGGTGTGTGCGTGTCTGAGTGTGTGTGTGTTGTCTCGGTGTGTGCGAGTCTGTGTGTGTGTGCATGTCTGTGTGTGCGCGTGTCTGTGTGTGTGTGTGTTGTCTCGGTGTGTGCGAGTCTGTGTGTGTGTGCATGTCTGTGTGTGCGCGTGTCTCTTTGACCGTGCCTTCAGCTCCCCTCTCGACTCTCTTCCTCCTCCTCGCTCCCTCCCTTCCCTCCCCTCACCCTGACCATTTCCCCCCTCCTCTCTCCCTCCTTCCCTCCCTCACCCTGACCATTTCCCCCTTGCTCGGGTCATGACCCAACTGTGCAGCGCCTTGGGACGTCCTCCTGACGTGAAAGGCGCTCTATAAATGGAATCTTGTTGTTGTTGTTGTTGTTGTGTGCGTGTCTGTGTGTGCGCGCGCGTCTGTGTGTGCGCGTGTGTGTACGTGTGTGAGTGAATGTCTCTGTGTGTGTGTTGTCTCGGTGTGTGCGTGTCTGAGTGTGTGCGTGTCTGTGTGTGTGTTGTCTCCGTGTGTTTAACTCAGTCGCCTTTGCCCCCAGTGAAGCGCTTTGAGACACCCTCTGACGTTCAAGGTGCCACATTAAGTTGCTGCACAGTTACTGACCTGTGTGTTCCCCCTCCCTCCCGGCCCCCAGGCTATCTCCTGTCACTACGCCAGTGCTGACTGTTACTACATAGACGTCAAGGGCACCACACAGGAGAACATCGAGCAGGAGGTCATCAACATTGGACGCAGCAAATACGGACTGGACAGCTCGGTCACCATGGCGGTACGTTGGTCTGATTAACAAAGGTTAATACAAATAATAATAATAATAATCCTTGCATTTGATAATAATTTAGACAATTAATAATAATTTGATTCCCTCAATCCACGGCTGTTTGTGGGGACGCTGCTGTGCGCAATTGGCCGCCGCGTTTCGCCCTCAAAATACACAGTCGCTGCACTTTTACAGTGTGTCCCGCGAAGCGCTTTTTAGACGTCTGAACGACGTGATCAGGCGCCGTATCAAACGCGAGGATTATTATCGTTATTATATCCCTTCCCTCCCCCTGACCATTTCCCCCCTCCTCGCTCCCTCCCTTCCCTCCCCTCAGTCTGACCATTTCCCCCTTCCTCGCTCCCTCCCTTCCCTCCCCTCACCCTGACCATTTCCCCCCTCCTCGCTCCCTCCCTTCCCTCCCCTCACCCTGACCGTTTCCCCCCAATGCTCGGGTCCCGACCCAACTGTCCAGCGCCTCGGGACGTCCTCCCGCTCTATAAATGAAATCTTGTTGTTGTTGTTGTTGTATATCTTCATTGAATGCAAAGGGTGGTGCAGTGTTGGCATTTTAGCACGAGATGTCACTGTTACTCACTGGTTAAAAACTGGATCAGATTTTGTGAAGCAAAGGGAAGAAAAACCCAAAAATAAACTCTCATCGCTGTGCGGGGGTTCCTGCTTGTGGGGTGAGAATCCCCGCCCGTAACCCCATCGGATAAGAGGATCTCATATTCCTTTGCAGGAACCATCATAGAATCATAGGATTATACAACACAGAAGGAGGCCATTCGGCCCATCGTGCCTGTAACGGCTCTTTCAAAAGAGCTGTCCAAATCCATCCCGTTCCCCCCCCCCCACCCCCCGCGCTCTCCCCATAGCCCTGCAAACTTGTCCTCCGCAAATTATTATCTACTTCTCTCTTAAAAGGATATCTGGAGTTTCAAAGGACGTCTGGTGCAGGGGCAGAGAACCAGTCTGTAACCTCTGGGTCTGGACGCAGGGTTCGAGCGACCACGGAGGAAACCGGGGGCTTTGGGCTCTGTGTCTGAGTTGGGATCTTCTTGTCTCGCTGCTCCCTCTCATTGTACGTATTCAGCAAATCCAATTAATGGACAAAAAGAGCAACGAGAGCAACAACTCCTTAATAATAATCATTTAATAATTTAATGATATATTAACTAACTATCAGTAGCACTTGAGTCAGAAGGCTATATGGTTCGAACCCCCAGTTCCCCCCCACATCGGAGTTGGCACACAGTCGAGGTTGACGTTCCAGTGCAGCACAGTGTGGGGTCGGGGGGAGCCCTGCATTGTCAGAGGTGCCGTCCTTCAGATGAGACGATAACACCATCGTCCTGTCCGTCTGTGCCTGTTCAGGTGGACATGAAAGATTTCCCCCCGCCGTGGCGCTACTCTCTCTCTCTCTCTCTCTCTCTCGCTTTCCCCCTCTCTCCCGGTGTCCTGGCCGACAATCCCGCAGATAAAAAAAATTGGTCACTCGCTCTTTTTGGGAGAGTCAGCCGCGTACGCGTCTGACGCACATGGAAACCCACCCATCGCCGCTGCTTAAGAGTCTCCAGACCAAACCGAGCATTTCGTGGGCCCCACCTACACATGAAAAGCCCAGAGACAGATTACCGCTGTTTGTGTAGCCTTCACTGAACACAAACTCGCTGCGATGCTGGTCTACAAAATGCACGGTCGTGAAGTAAGGGACCAGCTTTAGCCGGAGATATCGCTGGTTATGAAGCACTGTTGCCCTGTGATTACACCTAATTCAATAAAGTGATGATTCTCTTCCTCATGTCCTATCCAGTCCTTGATGCCTCGGGGGTGCGAGCAGTTGCCTTGGGGATCTGCTGGTGTCTTAACCAGCTACAAATGTACAGCTTGGACATTGAGAGCGCTGTCTGGCCAAGCTTTCCCGCTGCTTGTCCAGCTCGGACCACCCTCCCCGTTTGGGCTTTGGCACACAGGATTAACAGGGGCCGAGGGGGCGGATTCCCTGCCCCCAGTGACTGGTCTGTCCTTCCAGGAACCGGCCGATCAACCAGGCCGGGCTGTGCTGTCATCATCAACAACAAGTGCCCCTCACGCAGTGTAGTATCCCAGAGCGCTTGACAGTAGTGGAGCACGAGGCCGAGCTGGAGGGAGGGGGAGGTGACGGTAGGGCACGGTCGAAGAAGAAGGTCTTCAGGCTCGACCTGAAGATGGGGAAGGGGCAAGATGGAGCGGTAGAGGAAGTGTTCCAGAGTTTCGGGGCGTAGTGGCTGAAAGCGTGGCCACCGATGGTGGGACAGAGGGCACGGGGGACAAGCAGTGATGATGAAGCAATGATATATTAACTATGAGGAGCACTTGCACCTCTTGAGTCAGAAGGCTATATGGTTTGAAACAGGAGAGTGAGCCTTTATCTCACTCCCTGCCAATTCCCCCCCTTCCCTGCCTCCCTCACCCTGACCCCCACTCCCTCCTCTGCCATCGCCACCCCCGCTCCCTCTCCCCCTCCCCCAGCTGAAGACACCAACTTGGGGATGGTCCCAGAGGGGATGAGCTGTTTAGCATGCGGATTCGCGCACTCACTGGTCATCTTGGCGATGGCCCTTGCACCCCCCCACCCTCTCCCCCTGGGCTAACAGCCCGGACATGGCCCGCACCCCACCCAGCGAGGCCAGGCTCTTGCGGTGAGGTTATGCAGGGTACGAGCTACTGTCTGGCGGCAGTTGGGGTCTGGGCTGGTGCTGAGGGACAGCACCCACCACGTGTATCTGGGTGGAGATCTGGGGGTTCAGAGCCAGTTTCGGCAGAGCTCGGGCTGTGCGGTTGAGTGTACCGTCTTCACGATGTGCTGTGAGTATAACCGTCAGCGAGTTGAGGAGCGGGTGAGCATAACGGGCGGCGAAGTATCGGACCCCGTGAATGGTGGCGGTGGCGGAGACCTTCGAAGAGGACATTCGAGACGTCGAGTCGAGTCGGAAGGCGACTCTGTTGGTTGGGACGGGGATTGCAGGGCCTCCCGTTGAGCGGTGGGATCTGTCCCTCACGTGCGAGGAAGGGGAGATATTGGAACCCAGAGCTCACTGGAGTTTGGGGGGTGGGGATTGGATTGGGGCTGCGCTGCTGGTAACCCTCGTTCCCCAAGTGGAACGTATTCAGCCCTAATACAAACAAGAGTTGTCCCCACAGACAATCCCCAACGCCTCCCCCACCCTCCCCAACTCTTCTAAGCCCTAACGGGGGTGGGGGGGGGGGCTCGAGCCCACAGCCTCACAAGCGAGAGGGACGATTCCCGGGCAAGGTGATACCTTATATTGTAATATAACCGTTCAGCATATACTGTAAAGTGAATTGATTGTATATTTTGTGGGTGAAATGTGTCAACCAATTACGCACAGCAGTGTCCCACAAACAGTCGAGTGAGCAAATTTTTTTTTTTTTGGAGGGATTATTACCTCCGGAAAGCGATTTGCCAATCAACTAACCGCCGTGTTTCTATTTACTGCCGGTAACCAGAGGCGTGTGGAGAGTAAGGAAACTTGCCTGAGGTTGCGTCCTCTTCGGGAATCGAACCCGGGTCCTCTCCCATGCGGGGCGAGCGCTCTAACCACTGAGCTACGGGGACTCCGTTACATAATTAATGACTGGAATAAGTTTCCAGGAACAGTAGTTCAGGTCAGGACACTGGGACTCGTTTCAAAAACAGTTGGATACCGTGATGATGGGGGGAGGGGGGGAAGTTTTGCGATAGGGAAGACAGAGGCCGGGCAGGAGTTGTGTTGGGATGAGATCAAGTGAACCAAAGAGCCCTCTTCATCCCAAATGATCTTGTGCTCTGGTGAAAGGAAAGTGCTCTGACTTTGTCTGCGAAAGTACTTGAAGGTGTTGCAGGCACTGATGTGAAAAAAACTAATGGGGACGGGGGGTGGGGGTGGGGGGGGGGGGGGTGTGGGGGGAGAATTTAAGTGCTTATTTACTGGCAGCCTCCCTGTGAAGCAACCGAGACTTATTATAAATAGTAATTTACGAACCCCGGCTGCGCGGAAGTTTACAGACATCGCCATAAAAATCGGAATGTGTCTCTGGAATGCGGAATTCTCTGCGGGAAACCCACTGACTGAGGCAAAGGCCAGGAATCAGGTCGATGGGCGATAGGGAGGAATGTGTGTCTGCGGTGGGGGGGTGTGGGTGGGGGGGAGAGAGCGCGAGCAGGACAGTTGGACGAGACTCTTTAAGCGCTCCGGGACGCTGCCCTGCGCGAGCGGCACTATGTAAATGCACGTTGTTGCTGCTGTAGACGGGGAGACTCATGTGGAGTTTGGGGGGTGGTGGTGAGGGGAGCAGGGGTAATGATAATAATAATAATCATCATCATCATTATCCTGATACAGCCCATTATCGCGTCTTCGAGACGTCTTAAAGCGCTTCACGGGATATACAGTAGTGTGTAGCGACCGTGCGTGTCTTGTGGGCGAAACGCGGCAGCCGACTGCGCACAGCGGCGTCCCCCCCCCCCCCGCAAACAGCCGGGGATCGAGTGACCAGAGATTGTTACTACCGTATTTTCTCTTCTGTTTGCTTAGCGAATTGCGAAACAAATGACATCTCACGTTGAATCCCTTCTCTTCGCAGAACATACAGTCAATTCACTTTACAGTGTGTCCTGTGAA